GACATATAGCCCCCCAGTCATCAGCACCACCATCCGCGGAGATGGTCCACCGTAGAGCAGGAGTCCTTTTGGAGCCGAACAATGACCTTAAAATACCCTTGAGATTTTAAGTAATGCTTTCAATAAACATAATGAATCTCCCATATTTAGCATGTTATTCGGTTGTTATTTAGAAATAATAAAAACAACTTTTCCTTTTTTTAAACATTTATTTACTTATACATTTATCCTCAGTTGGTAAACCCTGCATTAGAGAAATACGTTTTCTATACACTGCTACTGAATACACTTATGACCTACATATTTCTGATCATTGCAGTCAACCAATTTTTTTTTTTTTTTGGAAAGATATCCATGTTTTAATTGTATTTTCTTGAAATACAGTATGTTAGGTTAATTAATGTCAGTTTCCCCAATTTAGTGGCATTACCTCCTTTAGATGGAAAGCACTAACATTCTGTTAAAGGGAGAACATATTTATGTTTATTTATTTTTGCTTTTTGATATATTTACTCATCTCAAAATATTAAAGATTACTTTTATTTCTGGGTACAAAACAACAGCACCATAAGTTTCGCTCACCTGCAAAGTGACATTGCAGGCTATGTTGATCCAAGTGAATACAAATATTAAACACAGATTAGAAACTTCAAATGCATTCAGTTCATGACATTTGCCTCCGGTTTCACAGACAAGGCTTAAGCCTAGTCCCAGACTAAAATGCATGTCTGGTCTGATGTAACTGAGAGAAACTTGCACTGACATATCTTAAAATATGTCTCATGTTTTGTCTCAAGATGCTCCTAATTGAACTATGGCCTCATCCTGGCTTAACCTAAGCCCTGTCTGTGAAACCAGGCCATAATGTCTTTGGTTGAATTATCAACATCTTACCTTGAAGATTGGTATGAACTGTCTGTTTTCCTAGAACATGAATCAAAATTAACTTATAAATCTATACACAATCAATAACAACTTAATATAAAACAGTGTTTATTCCATGAATGAATTTGTGCAAAGTGCATGTTAATATTAGCAATATGAGCTTACCATCATGTTGGGACTAAGGGGTTTTCCAAAGAGTGGATTCATTTGATTCTCTATACCTCCATCTACTAGAGCTTGGGTTGGGTGTGTTGGCATCCTATCCAGCTGAAGGCATTTAACAAAATTAATAATTAATTTTCATATTTCAGCAAATATTCTGTTTTTCCACGTTAATAATAATGTCATTCTGTTTATCCCAGGATGAGGGCAATAGCACATTGTTTTCATGTCTTAAAGACTCTAGAAACTAATGGAACTCCAGGAATTTAAGTCTTTAGGCATTAAATCTGCAGTCTAACTTACTTTGTGAGATGGTCTACCAGCTCTGCCATTCTTCTGTGGTTTTCCGGCTCCTCCCCATCTATGCCATTGTCCACTCTTCTGTGTACCTTGGTTCAAATGAAACACTTGTCTAGTCAACTCAGACTCATCACCCTACAGCAGAAGATAAAACTAATGTTTATTGTACTGCATAGTGATTGCAAACATTGCAAAAAGTGTTACCCACTCTGTCTTCTCCATTTTGACCAGGGAACACTGGATCTTGTCCAAATGGAGAGCCATTATATGGATCTTGTGCATGCTGCTCAGGTCCATCTGGATACAATGGGCCCACTGGATCTGGCTGTAGTGAGTGTCAGTTGAAATATTTTGGACTAAAACTACCTTAAATAATTTTAGAGTTATACATAAAGTGAATGTAAAAAAAAAAAAACATACAAAAACTGGCTGCCCAAAATTCTTCTCCCATCTGGGTCTGATTGGAGTTCTGCCGCCTGGCTGAGGTTCGTTTACTCCTCCTTCTACTGGACCTGAGAAATATTTCTCTCCATTCACTGGGCTAACATGATCCCAGCGGTCTCTGTCATTGGGCTAATAAAAAAGAATCATCAATGCATTAAAAATGTATAAAACCCGCCTTGACAATACATGTAAAACAGTGTGAAGCTCCACCATGATTCCAATATACACTGATATACTGTATACCCAAAATATCTGTCAGAATGCTGCTACTCACTTGAGCCGCCACTGCAACACATGATAATGCCACTAGAAACCACATCTTCTTTAAAATAATATGTACAATTTTCAGCGATAAATTTAAGTTTGCTTTCTCAAAGTTTGTCCCTGTTTCCAGCCGTGTCACACTGCTCTTGCTTCTCTCTTTATAAAAGGTAGTTGTTGAGCAATTGTCACTGTTGTTGTGACTCTTTTGTTTTGACCAAGGACTAATCAATTGTCAGAGAAATTGTTATTTACAACTAAAAATACTAATACAAAGCTGATGTCATTCAGGGTGGTTACAACATAACAATATGTTGTAGTTCATTCAAGCATATTATTTCACAACTTTTACAAAATTCTTGCTTCAAAGAGCTGTATGTTGACTTTCTTATGATTCTTTCTGTATTGCAATATCAGTCAAACCGATTAAAGAAAACCACAGAGGAATATCGTGTAGGAGGGATTGTACTGATTGCTAAACTAATTTGTTGCCTCAAGCTCACCTAATGTTTTAGGATTATCCTAGTGAATTTAGCAACAGCAGGCAGCAATTTAGGCATCAACATAACAGAGAGGTGTGGTATATATTGCTGTATTTAAATCCTCAGGCTGTTCAAATTATTATTCTATTTCTAGGCATCAGAGCAATAAATATTCTTCCTAAGAATATTATTTATTTTCCTTTGGAGAATCATGAAGACAGTAATTTTATTTGCATGTTTTCTTGGTCTGTCTTTGGCATTCCAGGTATGTTTCAAAAGCTATTCTTTTGCATTTTACTCAGTTGCATATAAATAATGTGACAATGATTATTTTTTTATTGTAATTAGGCTGAAGTTCACCAGCGTGCGGTTCGCTCATTATCCAGCTCGGATTCTGATGAGGTAAGTCAAAGAATGTAATCCAGAGTTAAAATGTAAAATTCAATATAATGTATCTGTCATAATGTCTCTTATCAGATTGGAGCTTTTTTTCTGAATCTGCATAAGCCTTTCCAGGTTCTCAACTCAGACCAGCTCTTTCAGCTGCTGATGGCCTTTTACTCTAGAACTGTCCTAACTCCAGCCCTCGCCCTAGTGCCAGTGCCGCCCGCTGCCCCATCCACCACCCCAACCCCGGTGCCAACCCTCGCACCCATCACAGCACGCTAAGGCCTGCTCCTTTGTTGAGAAAAATTACACTTTTCAGTTTACATACGGCTGTCTAAATAATGATTAGTAGTGCTCTAATAGCCAGTGATGTTAGTCTACATTTGAAACAGAAAAAAAAAAAAAAGATTAGAAATACAAAAGCAAATCAGCTCTCTCTGGACACCCTGGAACATTAGAATTATTGCTACACAAGTACAGTTATATGTGAGTTAAATAAATTGTCCATAGATCCATTTGTTGTTGTTCTCAGTGTATTTCGGCAGTTTGTTACCATTAAAACAATTTGGCTTTTATCAGTTTTACTGTGTGTGATTCAGTATTTTGGATGTACGAAGTTTTAATTTATGAATACAATACATTTCACATGCCAGACTTTATAGCACCCATGGAAATAATGCAATACAAATCTTAAAAAGGGAATAGTACAATAAATGTGTATTTATAGAAATAAAGTAACAAATAATTAACAAACAAATATGTAACCTAATAAATAAGAATTAAGGATTTATATAAGAAATAAGAATAAAGAGAGGAGTAAAGAAGAAGCCAAATCAAATGAGTGAAAAAATATGAGTGATGGTGTCTAACAAATACAAACCTTTTTAGGTTTGGTTTAAAAGGTTAGCAAACTTAGATAACCAAAGATGTTCTGGCATTCTGACACCATATTATTTCATTTATTATGATTTACTTGATTGATAATGACTGAAATAATCTGGCAACAACTGGAAAATTATTATTTGTTGTTGTTATTGATGACAAAAGCTGAAGAGATTTTGAATTGTGGCTCATTATACGACACACACTGTATTGGCAAAGCTCATGTTGGAATGTGCTGAAATCAACATTTGAAGACATCTGCCAGTAGTTAATACAACTTAACACAAATAAATCATTAATTCTGTATTTTCTATTTTTTTTAATGCTATGATTGCTATACTCACTACCCCTAAATCCACCATAACTCAACACACAACACTATTTAAAATATATAATAAACCTAAGAAGAAAAAAAAAAAATGTATCTGTTAGACTAGAGAAACATCACATTACATAAAATCCCCTCTTTACTAGGTTGCTTATCAACACAGATATTTTTGTTTTTTTAAGAGCTGGTATCAACAACATAATCCTTCATGCTAAAGATATTTTCCCCATATTTCATCTAAGTTCACACAGGCTCTTTTGTTTTTTAAATAACATAATCATGCTTATATTTGTCACAATCATGGCAAGTCAACTCCATTAATGTAAAGATCTTTTCTCCTGATTTTTTTAAGTATTCCAATTCCTTTTGGCATTCTATATATTTTTGATGATATCTAGAATGACACAGATATAAGCAAAGTTATAATTTATTATCAAAGAATCCCAGTCACATCCAGCCCTAAGGTGTGCCTTAATCTTTTGTTTTGTTTATGTGTTGCATAAACTCAGTATGTTTACAATTAATATACCATAAGAGAGGCAACCACGTGACTAATTTCCCCATTTCCCAATTGTTGAGTAAAGTCCACCTTGCTAAATACTAAGCGTTACATTTTTTTTTCAAACATGTCACTGTGTTACTTCTGCTGATTGGCCAGTTGCATGTCAATAATGTATATATAAAGCATTTATCACTGCTGTATTGATGTCACACAGACAAGTCTCTCATATATTTGGCATAAAGGTAAGAAGCAAAAGTAGACTAAATTAAGAGCATTTACATTTATATTTGGTCATTTAGAAGACATTTGTCTCATTGGAGACTTACACACTTTCTGTATTAGATCAGAGCTGCTCTTCCTGAGAACCATGAAATCTTTCCTGATCGTTGCTTGTGTCTTTGGACTCTGCTGTGCCGTGCTAGTGAGTTTCATTCCCTTTATATTGCAAATGCATGTGATGTTTTACTCATTTTTACCACCACACTGTTCTGTAATGTAATCTATAACAATGGAAATGAAGTGATGATGGTGATGAAGATGCAAAATGTATTTTCCTTTGTAGGCAGAGGATGGAGAACTTCGAGAGAAGCGCTCATCAAGCCGTTCCTCAGAGGCAAATTCTCTTTGATTTTTGCCATTGCATAAAATCCTTGAATCAATGAATTTATCATGTTTTAGGCTACATTCTGAACATGTCATACATGTTTGTCTTCATTTTGAAATCTGTTTTATATAGACTCTTTTCAATAGAAATCTTATATGCTCTTCTACTGATATTTCTACAGAGACAACCTGGAGGCTTCTTCAACCCATACCCATTTCAGCGTCCCTATCCCTATCCGTACTTTCCCCCATACCAGCCTCAGCTTCTGCCTCAGCCTCTGCCTCCAAACAACAATGCTCTCCTCAGCCTCTTGCCATTCATCTTAGCACAGCTGGCATCCACTACCCCTGCTCCTGCACCGGCCCCTGCCCCAGCTCCTGCTCCTGCTCCTGCCCCTGGTGGGCGATAAGACACCAGTTAAAACTGAGCATGTGTCTGATTGACTTGATACTCTTGTTGTATCTTAAAACAAATAAACTTAGTATCATTGAATCATACATTTGTGTTTGTGTGATTCTTTCTCTTTTAAATGTATAGGAAAATGTACAGTTTATCAGATTTTTTAGTGTATTATAATAGTGAGTGTTATACAAAAAGTATACAAAAGTTTAAAATTATATAACAGGTGCTAGTCTTCTAATCTGATTTGAGCCACGTTCCAAGTACCAGGAACTCTCTGGGTCTCTGACAGACTGTCAGTATTTCAGGGACTCTTTCTGCAGTTGATAGCGACAACTTATTGACTTTTGTTCAGGAACGAAACAAGTTATTAGTGAATCATTGAATCATTTACAAAACAGATTCGTTCAAAAGCACTGAATCATTCAGTAACAAAATGCCACTGCTATGTGTAACAACGGGTCTTCTGTGGCTCTGTTTAGAGCTATTTTCATTGATGGAGCAAAAACAGACAATGTGACGGGCAGTACTGTGTCTAAAATGTAATTCCTGTTTATTGAACTGTTATATAAGGAATGCTTGTCACTCTAGTAACTTCTCAGAAATGGTTGCTTGTTCAGAAACATTCTTGAATTCTAATGGAGGCTTGGACATTTCTTGAACTTACTGTTGTTTAAAAGCATTGATGTAGCCTAAACATTTAGAAATTTTAAAGTGTAGGTCTATCACACTCGCGAGAGTGAGTTAACATGGATCAGCTTAGGTTGTTTTTGAGAAGTCATTCGAGGTGACAAGGCAGAATGTTTCTTTTTTTAATCATTAAAATATGCACTTTTTTCTGAATGAAAAAGTACATACTTATGCAGAGGTGCATGCGAGTTTTGGGACATTTTGAGAATTGGTACATATTAGGCCTACTATCACATCATAAATTGCTTTTTGAAATCCACAGACTGCTTTTTCGCTTTTCCACTTAAACCAAACTTGTTAACATAAACTCCTCATATATTTCATGTATGCAATTCCTCCAACCATATTGGAGAGAGAAGTATGTCTATCTGCCTGTCTTTCTTGGAGAATTAGTTAATGGCCAAACATATGTGATTTCCTGTTGTGCTGTTTGTATCTTTATATCTTTAGAAAGATAACATAAATAACTTACATGAAAAAATAAATGTGTCCATGTTTGTAGTTCTGAAGTGAAATATCAGAAATATTCCTCCACAGTGCAAGGGACACAATAAACACTCATAAAGACAGTTGTTTCGTTCATGAGTGAATCAACTTTTTTGAAAGAATAATTTGAATGAATGATTCAGTGACTCTTCTACTTGATTCAGTGACTCCCGAAGTAACAATTTAACGTAACTGAAAATGTTTTTGGCACTTTTGGTTGGTCTCATGTATTATAACAGTCATAACAAGCACACTTTATGTGCATTTACCTTTTAATTAGAAAGCATAACATAATGTATGATTAAATGATGCAAAAATATTTTTTTTAAGAGACCAAGAACAAGAGTATCAAGTCAATCAGGCGCATGCTCCACTTTAGCTGGTGTCTTATCTCCCACCAGGAGCAGGAGATGAATGGCAAGAGGTTGAATTGGGCATTGGTGTTTGGAGGCTGATTCAATCTGTTTTAAAACAATACAGCTCCAATCTGATCATTAAGAGAAATAACAACAGACACTGTCATAAAAGCAATTAAAACAACATATTGATAAGTGAAAAGATCTTTGCCAAATAGTGATAGATAGCAGTAGCCTCTTTCAGCAGGATAATGCACCCTGCCACACTGCAGGTATGAATTTTGCCAATGCAAAATTCATAAATTCATAAGTATGAATTTCGCCAGTGCATTTATTCAAAAACCTTTACATATGACACAATTTTCCATTTAATTATTTAGTAAACTTTGTTAACTTGTTACAGTTTGGCAACTTGGCGTTTAGCGTCCCTGTATTAGGGCACCTAGTAAAATTAATTTACCACCCTCTCTTTCAGTTCTCTTCTTCTTGGCTTTCGGTACAGAGAGATAGACTTTACTTGTCTTGCAGTAAAACTACGATTATCAGAGATTAGCTAATCCTCTGTAGCAATGTGTCCAGGAAGTTTTTAAGATGTTCCTAAGATGTCACAATTGCACAAACTGCAGTAAACTTTTGGGGATTTGGGGGATTTTAAGGATTACAACTTGACTAAATATTGTAATGTCCTTAAGGTTTGTGTGCACAATGAGTAAAAAAGTAACATGCCAAAACTCTTTGATGAGTCCATTCGAGTGCATTTGCTGGACTGGGATAAATCTTAGTGTATTCACATTTATTTCAGAACATCAAGAAGACTCAATGAATTGCAGGACTGTAAGTATGAATACATTTAAATATACTTCACTGTTTTTGTTACTTCAAGTTGATGTTTTCTGATTTCCTCATTGACATCACTGAAGTATTGGGAAGACTGAGGCAAGCTGTGACACTTTTTACTCCAGTGAATGTTTAACTGATACTATATATATATAGTAGTCAACATTTGAAGTGGATCAAACCTTTCATCAAAGTTGTCCTAAAACCTAAAACCAAAATTAGTTCTTGTCTTAGGACAACCATGTGAGGCCTGGACCTCTGTTCCCATTTCTGTGGTCCCTGCTACTGCTTCATGCAATAAACATAATGAATCTCCCATATTTAGCATGTTATTCGGTTGTTATTTAGAAATAATAAAAACAACTTTTCCTTTTTTTAAACATTTATTTACTTATACATTTATCCTCAGTTGGTAAACCCTTCATTAGAGAAATACGTTTTCTATACACTGCTCCTGAATACACTTATGACCTACATATTTATAATCATTGCAGTCAACCAATTATTTTTTATTTTTTTTTTGGAAAAATATCCAACAACTAGCTGCCCTAGCTATGTGACCAAATGCCAATATAAAGCAGGCACTGACACCCAAAATTATGAAGTGAAAATTATTTCTGAATGAACGTTCAATGATTGCATGCAATTCTGAGGCACTATGCACTAGGTGTGGTGCAAGTGTCAACAGACCAAGAGGTGGGTATGTAATTTTGAGATTTTGAGATTGTTTTGGGTGGGACAGTATGACTCCTGAGTCACTATACACCTATTAAGCACAGTCTATCTTAGGAGGAAATGTCTTCAGATGTGTCTTAATCAGTAACAGCATAAAAAATCCGTACAGACTACAGTCTTCACAATGGAACACAAAAATTAGAACAGTTAATTTTTTTTTAACGATAGAGTCTTGTTGTTTGCATATCCAGTCATGTTTGAGGAATTCCTGGATGTTTCGTTAAAACTGTTGTCTGTGTCTGCATTCCTATTTGGTCTGAACCCAACTTAATAATAACAGTTATCTCACCACCATGTGAAATTAGTATAGTTCTAACTGTGGGAATGGCAGAATCATACTGTCATTATAACTGAACCAAAGTGACTTTTCAGAAGCTGTGGTTTTGCTTTAATCAACACTGGAAAGACAAAATCAGTGAGAAGCAACCTCAGATGAGACAAACAATTATTGTGTGGGTGAAAGCAATGTTGTGATTTATTGAAATAACCAGATTTCTTCATTTCATGATGCTTACACACTATCCCATTTCTACTGTAAAATGTGCACAATGTGAGAACAAATTAACTTATGACATTCGCTTACAGACTAAACATACCTAGTTTTTATGATCATATTCATCTTTTATTCATTGACTTTTAGTATAAAGCTCAATCAATATATCAAATCACTCAAATCACTATCTTAATTTAATTGTACAATCTAAAGAACACTTATCATCTGAGGTTTTATATTGTCTAAGGTCTGAGCCTATTTCCCATGTTTTCTGGTTGCTTGAGGAATGGACACTTACACCACTTACAATATTGTAATCAAAGGATTTTAAAGTGAGTATTTGGCTTTTTTATTGTCATGCAATATTAGCTATTAATTTCATATTTTTCATGTTGTTTGGTACACATGTATTTACAATGTGTGTGTATTTAGGTATGACACAAATGACGATCTAGCATTGCTCGCATGCTTTCTAGCTGGAACATCTGGAGTTCTGGTGAGTCATTGATGTTCTTAATTAAGTTAAGAAATTAACTTAATTTCTTTAGAGATATTTCAGGGTTACATTATAGAAATCATACTTAATTCATGGTAATTCATGCTAATTAATTAATGTTTGTTACTTCTCTGTGTGAACTCACTACTGTGTTAATAATCTGAGGTGCAGCAAATAGTGATATTTCATCATTTATAACACTAAATGCATCATTTAAAAGTCACCTTTCACTGATTATGTAACTTAGATATTATTATTTTTTAATCAACTCTCAATAATCAACCTTTTCATAGAGCTCTCCAAATGCTGATTTGATGGATTTGCTCCCAGTGGGAGATATGCCAGCGCAGGGAACCCCAGTGATGCAGTCCTCACTGTCTTGATCTGAGGTATTGGTACAAGCCCAACATGTGCCACAGCAGTTTCAGCCTGAATCTCCCAGAATGCTCTCTGGTCCTCAGCCACATCTGCCCACTCTGACCAATCTATGGGCCTCTCAAACCAACCCGAATATTGGTCTCAGTCAACTTCCTGCACATTTTCAGTGCTTACCCAATCCTCATTCCCAGCAACAGCAGGTAAGAAACTTTTGTGAATTTACTTGGTCTAATCTCGATAAGACAGTCAATTTAAAATTATTTTTTCCCCTGTAGAATTTGATAAAAAACATACATATGTACATATTTAAAAGTGATTATCAAATATTGTTAACGTTTTTAGAACAAATAAAACATTTTGTTGTATTTTCCCTGTATTTTTCAGTTTTTTTATTATCCAATTCTTGGGTCACAATCAAGGAACCCATCAGTAAGAGTGTTTCCATCGTTCAGTGTACAATATCAGAAATATGTGTGATTTTGTTTGTATAGCCAGCAGAAATAACGCCACAGGAAGAGCTGACAGGCTGTCTGGGTTCAGCACGTTTATTCTGATTCGAGGTAAAAACCAAAACTTAATTAACTTTAGCTATGTAACCCTCAAGCAAGCCTTTATGTTTTAAACTGTTTGGTAAATTATCAAAAATATTTCGCTGGAGGAGATCTTCTTGTCTGTCTTCTGTGTGTCGGATCGGAAGTGTTTTGATTTATTGAGGAAACCCGCTGCACTTGATGTGTCCAAACAAAGAGAGTTGGCGTAATATATTGCCTCACGTATCGGTTAAATGTATGCATGCTAATAATATCCCTGTCAGCTCAGTTTGTCAGCTCAGCATATTCAACATTTAACAATCCCAAGAGGAGTCATTCAGTTCATTCAGTCTTTTCATTGAACATCATCTGGCCCAAAATGCACTTCTTTTTGCATCTTTCTTTCAAAGTCTTTTTGCACACTTGTCAGTCTCCTAAGTCATACACTATTTCTCACATGCCCCTTTCCATCATCAGTTCTCCTATGGAGTGCCTGTTTTCCAGCACACAACATCTCAACAATATCCTGCTAATGCAGTTCCAGCTTCACAGCCATTAATGATACAACACAAACAACACAAGCCTCTAAACCAGCCTAAGCAATATCAAGTATCAACATCAATATCAAGTGCCGTGTGATCACTTTCAACCTGCTGAAGACCTCTTAACCAACACTGGACCTTTGGATTCAGATCATGGGCCGTTCATTTCAGCAGTGATACTAATCTAGAATACAAAGAAGCTCTTGTTCCAGTGTCCCCACCACTGCTTTCTGATACTGTCAACACCAACACTGATATGTGCCCCTAAGACAAATCTTTACTGCAAGATTTACACAAATATGCATTTTATATCATGCTAATGCTTTATATATTGGGTTAAGGCAGCATAATGGAAGCTTTTAAATATTTTTCATAGCAGTTCTTATGTATTGTTTTAGTTTGTTTATTTGTTACTATTTCTTTATCTGTTATTGTACCCACAAGAGGTATGAACTAAAGTTTTGACTTTGTGTGGATTAGTCTATATGTTAAAAGTTTTCGTTTAAAATAATTTTTGTCTTTTGTACTGTGAACTATGTGTGTGGCCCTCAACATATACAGTATATCTGACTTGTAATTAAATACAAAGTTCATTGCAGCCTAAGGCTCCTTCTGTGTTGCATACAGTATAACAGTCATCAAGTGTCAGCAGTGTTAGTAGTACTGGAAATGTGCACACTTAACACCTAACACTTAACCCAGAGAAAAACAAGCTGAGTGAATAAAAAACAAAAGTTTTAAAATATAGAATTTCAGTGTAGAGCATTTCTGATTATTAAAGCCGTCAGAACAACAGAATCGCCTGTTTGTAGAGGATCAGGTAAACCATACTGTTAACTTACATTAAAAAATTGAATAGAAGTAATTTATTAAATTCTGTGACTCATTTTTCAAGGACCAGTTTAGTGATTCCTGATCAGTACAAATAATATATGGAGGCACATTGTAGGCTGAAGGTATCCAAAAATACAAATTATGACAAGATTAATGCAAATAAACCATTTTTTTTAAAAAGAGAGAGATCAAACTTTTAAAAAATACATGGAAAAATAAAATTAACAAAATAAATTTTTAATAGTCTTTTTCATAGACGACTATTAAATCTTTACGTGAAAGGCAACAAAGTCAAATTATTGACTTTCACTGGTGTTTCCCAAAGTAACATTACATTTTTGTGAAATGAAATGAAATTAAATTAAATGAAATACAGAATGTAACTCAAAGAGAGTGGGTATATATTTCTTTCCACACAATATTGCAAGAACCATTTACACTTACAATAAGTTAAAATATTGTGTAGGTACAGAGGTTTTTGTCTATTTTGGTATTTATTATATATAATATGATTTATGAATGCTCAGTCAGGCAGAAGGTTATATACAGCTTAGACAAGTGTGAACAGTGCTGTCAGAGATTATGATTTTATCACTAGTACCATAAATTTATTTTTTATTGCGTTTGATTTATTTGTATACTGTCACATACCTCTAATGTATTGTGCCAAACTTAATATAATTACATTCACAGCCCAAATTTTGCTTTGAGATAAGCAAAGATATATTCTTGCTTTGAACGCACATTTTTGTCCTCTATAAAGAAACTTGGCTGGTCACCAAAGCCAATCAGATGCTGATGTTACGGGCCTTTTGTTTTCAAATTGAATATAAGGGGTATATCTAGACAGCAGTATCACAAAATCCTCCTCAACAATCCTGATCACGCTCAACAGTCTTAAACAAAGGTAAGGTACTATTAATTCAACAAATGCTCATCAGCACATCAGTACCTTTGCTGTTTGGGGTTGAAGGTCTAGTTCTAGATCTAGTTTCCTGTTGTAGTTGGTTACATATTAGATGTATAAAATGTATATTTCACATTTAATTTCAGACGTTATCATTCAACATGAGAGCCCTCATTTTGCTGGCATTAGTCATTGGAGTGGCCTACTGCGCTCCGGTACATCATCTACAGTATTTGACTATCAGCTATGACAAGATAATATGTGATTCTAACATTACGTGATACTAGCTTTGACTCTCCTGTTCTTTGACCCACAGCAATTGATGTATTATGAGCTAAAGTACAAACCTGTCCTCGCTCCACAGGTTAGTTTGGTCCAAACATGAAATAAATACATATTTATTATTTAAAGTAACAGCCTCAATAAAATGATTCATAGCATATGGGAATATATAGTTAATGTATAGTAATATATATGTCATATATGATAATACTGCAGTTTGTATTGTATAAGAAGTGTGTATGATGATCTACAGGCTCTTCCTGCGGCCGCTGCTGCAGCTAGACCTTCTGAAGTCGAAATTGTAAGTGTGGACTATGTGAAATAGATTAATTTGACCATCACTCAATAATACATATAATAAATATTATATTATAATATTTTAGAAGCATGTTTTTATATAAATGCAAAATGTTTCATTGAAAATTTATTTATATATATAGTTCAGTCATGAAACTCTAGATGGCGCATTCTGACGGGGTGTTAACGTAACTGATGATATTCAGAGAGTTAAACGACTTGGCACAAGCTGATTGGTTCATGTTGCATATGCAGCCAATGAGCTTACTGCCTTGCATTTATATGGCTGGCTAGCATTCACTTGAGATTCCTGCAGCATGCTTTCAGAGTTCTCTGAAACCCTCCACCTTCCCCAGCTCCACCTGTATAGATCTGCTACGGGGTTATTTTATATGCTATTTGTGCAGCAGCAGTATGTCTTAAATACTCACAGCACTGTATCACCGTATGCATTGGCAATAACAAGTTCCTGTACTTGCTTGCAGCAGCAGCAATAATCTACAACTACAGCAATAACCAACAGCAGCAGCAATTCAGCAGCAGCATAGCAGATCTGTTCCGCCAAGACCAAATACATTAACATTGTCATATTCATCACCGTGCTAAAATGTTCCGAGAGTTGTCATGATTGAACTCTGGTTAAAATACTCACTGTTTCAATAGTATAGCCACAAGATGTAAATGATATGTGTTAACATTCTTTTAGTGTGAATTTTACAACATTGCTGTCGTGACAATGCAATGCCAGAAACACGAAATAACTGTAAAAACAATGTAAACAGTTTTACAGCTCAAATATATTGTATAGCTCAAATATCCATTTTAGTACCTCACTGTAACCTCAATTTTTGCTTTTTTTAAATTAAACAAGGACACGTCAAAGTAATTTTTTGTGATATCCTGTTAAATTTACAGTCTATATTATATTATATTATATTATTATTATATTATATATATTATATATTTTCAGCTTTTGGCAGCTCAGCAGGCTGTAGCTGGAGTTCCTGTGAGTTTCAATTTGTTTTTATTTCCTTTTACAGAATATTCATTATTGCCTGCTAGTTTAGCATGCAGTCAGTGCTCATTTTGTCTTATTCTCCACAGGGTCAACCTGTACGCGGCTTCATTAAGCATGAGATTCCCCAGCCCGCAGGCAAAGAAAGTGTTGAAGTTGTATGTGCTTTCTCCTTTTTTATTTGTGTACTGCTACACGCAATCTGAATCTGAATACGATGCCCCCATTTCTTCCGTTAGTAGAAGTTAATTCATTTTCCTCTGTTTTCTAGTTGTACCCATTCCGCTTTCCTCAACCTGCTCCAGCTGCTCCAGCTGCTCCTGCTGTTCCTGCTGCCCCTGCTGCCCCAGTACAGTCAAACTGAAAATTTGTGATATATATTATAATTTCACATATATATGTGGCTGTTTGTAATTTTTTTTTTTGTATTTTTAGGCCCCTGTTCCAAAGGACGATGATGATGATCATGATGACTAAACCAGATTGGTTGGTTAAGTATAATTATAACTGATTTATCAATCATAATGCTGTAATGCCATCAGTTGAACAGTTTTTGCAATGGAAGATGCAACATTGTACAATGGTCAATCACACATAAATAAAAGAAAGATTATTGGAGTTGGTTTTACAAGAAAATGCTATATCATTCTTTCAAAATTTCATGTTTAATTCAATGTTTTACTTGCCATTTCTGTGTAATTAATTGTGAAATTTACTAGCAGTTCATGAATGAAAACAGTTTCTACACCATTTTTTATTTTAGTGCATATTGTGCAGCTTTTAGAAACATATTTTTATTTAATTATAAAATGATTAAAAAAAAAATCAAATTACACAATAGAAACCTTTCTGGACAATAAACACATTTCTAAAGCCTTCATTTTTTCCCTCTCTCATAGATGAACAGATAAGCTGACCACCAATTCCTGAACATCAAAGAAACTGCTTGTAGTGTTTAGCAAATTGACTGCGCAAATGCTTTTCCGCATCAGAAATAATGATGATCAATCAAATGGTGCTTTCTCAGTGGCTTGATGCACGAGAGCCATAAAAATCACAGCTTTTTTGCAACCATTTTTTAAAATCTTGATTTATTATAAACTGTACAATCAATTCCCTTCCTCCTTGTGTGTGTTATTGTGTTATTATTGTTGCTGAACAGTTATTATGTTGTTAATTCATACAAATACATAACAATTCCTAGATTGGCTGATAATAAACATCATCCCAAAACTGCTCTTCAAAACATGACATTGCGTTTTGTTGTTGTTGTTGTTGTTGCAGTTAAACACCACTAAGTTCATACACAACAAAATAAACTCAGTTCCTATTTTGGAAAGCACTGATATTTTGTACCTTGAAAATATAGCTTCAGAAACATAGGCTGGTGATATCAGCAGTTCTCTCGGCTATCATCATTATAATAATAGCTGACAGACAGGCAGAGAATGTCTGACTACGGTCATTTTCTCAATAACCATCTTTCTCTATCTGTGAGGTCATGATGAAGTCTAGCCTGAGAGGGATTGGCTAAGCGCTAAGCCAGAGACCAAATAAAAGCCTGAAGACACATGTTCCAGAGCTAGTGACTCTACCTGCAGCCAAGGTGAGAAAGCTGGTTGAAATTTTTTTTGTGCACTGTAAGTGGTTTTGTTTCTATGTTATCGTTCAGAACTAACACTCCTTCATGGGTCTTGACAGTCTTAGGTCACGTCTTTGTTTGTGTAAGGTTGGTGAATCTATAAACATGTGGACATCTCTCCTGTGTCTTCTTCTGGCTGGTGCAGTATCTGCAGCACCAGTAAGTACACATTAAACCTTTTTGTAGGAATGTCTTTGTAGTTATCAAGACTTGTTTTATGTGTCTAGGTCGCCCAGATACTGAAACTGATCCTTTTTTTCCCCCATGTGTGTTTATCTCTCTCTCTAGCTTTCACCATTTTTCAATTATCTCCCTCATTATGGCAACCCAAAGCAGGTGGGGTTAACCAGCCATGAACATTCTTGACTTTTCCATATCCATAAACAGCATAACAGTCTTCGGAATCTTTTGCTTTGACCATAATCAACACATTGCACCCAGTTTCATGATGAAAATAGCTCTGTAATATTACACTGTTTGATGACATGCTACTCCATGACATGTGTTTATATGATTTATAGGTTTAACTGAGGTTACTACAGAACATGCATTGAACATACTAATTATAACCAAACTAAACATGTTCTTTTTGGGCATCCACTAAAATGAACTTGAACTCCTTTCATTTGTATTTTAGGGGAATAATGGTGGCTTCCAGGGAATACCATCACAGCTACATCCTGGTCTGAATGCTCCAATCAGCATGGAAATTGTATGATCTATTTTTTTTTCTATTTGATTTTGCCTTAAATATAACAGTTCAAAGTGGTACCAGGATACCCTGTAAAACAGTTTTTTTTTTTTTGTATAATTGAGATACTATTACAGTTTTTATTAGTTTTTTAATGTATATTGGACATTTAAAATATATATGTGTATATAGACACATATATATATTTTATAAGTTAATGAACACATATATATTTTATAAGTTAATGAAACAATATGTGTATATAGTTTCATTAACTTTTATTTCAGTGTTAATTTATTTAGGCTATTTTAGTGCATGAGAAATGATGAACTAAATGAAAATAAGAAATGTTGCCTTGGCAACTAGCTGAAATAAAATAATTTTTAAATATTTAATTTCAAGTAACAAAAATAGTTTCATGGTTTTAGTTCATGGTACCACATATTTAAGATTACCTGAAAAAAGTATAGTGTATGTATTGCTTTTATTAGGTTAGTGTACCTGATCTAACCCATAAAAATAGTTTTACTAGGTTAGTGTAACCTAATGTATTCAGGTTTATTGAGTCATGTTAAATAATCATTTATTAAAGTTAATTAAATTAATATATTTATTTAAAATTTTTAAGATGGTACCACATGAAGCACATTTTAGATTACCTGAATAAACAACAACAACTACAAATTATAGTGTATGTGCTGTATAACATGCTAAATGTATTATTATTGTTAATATTTATTTATTTATATTTTTATCAAATAGATTTTTCCTCCGCGATTCCCTGCTAGTCCAGTAGGGGGAGCAGCGGGCACATCGGTGAGTCAGTAAAGTTGTATTCTCTGCAAGCTTGTCTTTCCAAACACTTATCATCTACACAGCTTCTTTGTTTGGTGCCTTTGTGATAAACTCAGCTCAATCAGATAAATCAATATATACCACGTGTGTATACCATAAGAATAGAACATGATTACTACTATTATTCACGCTGTGGCATGACTCTCTCTGTGTGTTCTTTCAGTCATTCCCTACACAAGGGTTCATCAAGTACTCTCTCCCTAAAGCTCCCGGCAGAAAAAGCGTGGAAATCGTGAGTGAACAGACAGAAAGGCTCATTCAGCAAAGACTAGAGATGTTAAACTACACTCTGTATAAAGTCACTTAAGCACAGTGTTGCTTTAGCCTCTGCGGTTACACTTTATTTCGATAGTCCACTTTAGACATTCTACTAACTATAAGTAACTTTGTAACTACATGTCAACTACATGTCAACTAATTCTCATTAATTTGCAACTACATGTCTACTAACTCTCAGAGTAGACTGGTAGGGTAGGTTTAGGGTTAGTAGAATAAGTTGACAAAGAAAGTGTTAGAAGATATTAAGCAGACAGTCTACTAATACTCTACTAACTGCTAGTTGACATGTAGTTGCAAAGTTACTTACTGTTAATAGAATGTCTAAAGTGGACTATCGAAATAAAGTGTTACCGCCTCTGCTAATGTTTCATTAAATTACAGACATAATTGTCTGATGCAATGAAATAAATGGTGATTTTGTTTTTCTTTCTCCTTAAGTTTTACCCCTATGACTTCAGTCAGCGCCAGGTAACGATTGTTTTCTCATTACATATAGGCTAGCTAATCCTTACAAATATTGATTTTCTTTTTCTTTTTCTTTTTCTGGGAGTACACTGAAAACTATTTGGTGTAGATTTGCTTTGAAACTGCAAATGTAAAAAAAAAAATGCATATTGTAACCCTTTGAATTAAACGTTAAAGCAAAAAAGTTAAAAGTAGCTAAAGTAAAAAGACAAAGTATTTTCTTGTAAAACATACTCTTGTTTCATTTACAATTTAGAAAATCATTCTTTATTTTACAGTGATGTTTTTTTTTTTCAGGACCAACCCAATGTTCCCCTGATACCTCAAATTCCAAATGTAAATTCTTGAAATTGCTTCAACGTTTTGACATTATTATTTAAAAAAAATGGGAATGTTTGTTTGAATGTGATATTTTATTTGTTTGTGAATATATAGATCTTCCCCTTCGATTTTATGCCACAGACAGTTCCTCAACAGCCACCTGTGGTGAGACAATTATGATCTGAACCTGTTTGGTTTCATAATCACTTGCACTCTTATTGGTATTTGCTGAAAGACTTAAAAATCGGTGAGCTTTTATTGAATTTTTTACACAGAACCCACCATTCCAGGATGGTCCTCCACAAGCCCAAGAGCCTCAGCAGCAAACCCAGCCGGAGCAGCAGGCTCAGACAGGACAGGTGTGTGTGTGTGTGTGTGTTTGAATGAATATGTGTGAGAAGCTAAAAACACAACCCTCAGTAAAGCTCTGATTTGACAACATAATTGCTCCTTCAGTGCTGCGTTTATCCAGGATGTGTTTAACCAAAATGAAAACTTGCGAATCTTGTATGTCATCAGCAGTTTTGCAGAAACAGCAGTTTATGCATGCCACACACTTGTTAATTATCTACACTTTCTTTCAGGTGTCTAACAAGCCATGAAGACCGGTAAGATACTGCTTAGGTGTATCTGAATTGGATTCATTCATCCTAATTTTGAATTGCAACACAATAATTTTAATATTAATATAGTTTTAATACAACACTGTATGAAATCACTCTTTCATTCATGTTTGACATATAATTTCTTATGCGTGCAGGCACATCTTTGAAGCTGAGTGGGGAAAAGATGTCAAACAACCGTGTGTTAAATGTTTTTTTGTCTAATGCTATTTAGAATTAGTACTTTTTCTGGAATAATAATTTAAAATGAGCTGATTTTTTAACATGAAGAAGATGATTTACCCATATGTATAACAAATTTTTTTCAAGTTTTGTATGTGCATGTTATACAGTTTGAATTGTGCTGTTTTGGCCTTATTCTAATGTGAGAAAATTATACCTTAACTGAATATCAAACAAATGTCAATTCTGAATATTTTATCATGTAGGCCTTTTGTGAGTATAGTGTTTCAGTAATAAAGTCGATTAAACAAAACTTTCTTTTTTATCTGCACTTTTTATCCTATTCCCAGCTGTTACAAAACAGGAGATGAAATTAGTACTGCATACTAATTAATTAAAATAATATATTTTTTTCAACGTTACAAAGGATCCCCTCCCCCAAGGATAAAGTAAAATATTTTGCATCTACACCTTGAACATTCTGCAGTACAATAAACATGATACAGCATGATCAGAATCATTAAATTCATGCTCGTTAAAACTTTAGTAGAGCAAGGACTTTGTTAGGCCATGTTCAACCTCGAGGAAGCTTGAAGATGTGTGAATATCAAATTAGAGAATTATTTAATTTGCTCATAAAAACAAAATTGAGAGAGCTTAAAGGGTAAACTATGAAAAGTTTTGCAGTTTCTACATGGAATGCCAGTTCATCAGGAATTCTAATGGTCTCTTTACATGACTGCAGAAATAAAGACACACTCATAAAGTAATAGACCTATATAGTACGTTAGCAATTAATCCATTCTGTTATATTTGCTCTGAGATACAGTATGTTGGTGCGTTGTGCAACAACATTTAATGAGATTTTGAGACATCTGGTCATTATCATAACAGGGTTTAATTAGCTCTGCAATTCTAATTCAGTTCTAATTACACACACACACACACACACACACACACACACACACACACACACACACACACACACACACACACACACATATTCTATGATATTTGCTCATTCTCAGCTCTACAAGTATTTCTTGTAGTCTAAAAGATGCCATGTCTGTTTATCTATTGTCTGAATATGGCAGCAATATCATATGATTTTAGATACAATTATTTTGTTACTTTAAATATCTATGTCTATCAGACTAAACACATAACACCCATTATATTGTAGTTTAGTCAGTGATGTTAATATTTTTGCCTTAAATTTTTAGTTTACAGGTTTTTTTTCCATGGAGTAAAGGGTTTTATTTTGTGATAATAACTACATTATCATGATTATTAGAAGACTATTAAATAAGTAAATGGACATGAAATATTGAATCGTGGGAAATAATGAATTCTAAAGTATTTATTATATATTAAAAAAAAATCATTTTACCACCGAATACTGTGATTGGTAAGATATTTCTGATAAAACAATTTCATTAATTAAAAAATGAATAAAAAAAAGACTGACCTTAACATTTGTGAATCAATAACAGGTTAAAAAATGTAAAACTAGAGTTGAAGGTTCAAGAGCTGAAAAGATGTGTGTTAAGACATATAAATCTAGTCTTTTGAACAACCAGAAAGATGAAACTTGACCCTGAGGAAACATCTTCAAATGTATATTGTCTAGAAGAATGACTGAAGGGGAGCCAGAGTATATGTCCTCTCTTGCCTGAATCTTTTGAGCGCAGCAAGTGGATATCTAGAAACCTATTATGTTCATATTCTTTATCAGATGGAAGACATCCTGGATGTGGATTCCCTAAAGCATAAGGCATATCAACCCTCCAATGCTCCAAACCATAGAGTGAGGGGGGAAAAAACGCAGACGACAACAACACTAAAGAAGCTGTCAGTGTGGTCACAACAATGAGGAGCCAAAAGATTTACACCTACTGTATCTCCAAATGAATCAGCAAGAAATGGTGGATTAAGTCTGTAATTAAGAGTTCAGAAAAATGTGTAATATAAGCTTCATTGTGAAGATCTGTTTTAATTAGATCAATCATTTTAGCAGGCGCCCAGAAGTCTCACTCTCATGTGAAAAGGGGCCCCTTGAAATTCATATATATCCAAACTTCACCATCAAACACCACAGACAGACAACCCTCCTGTCTGGAGGATTGGGTAGATAATTTAATTTAGTCTTTTTGAAGAACTGTGCACCAAGCAGAATTTTTTTACAGTGTATAATTATACATAATGGGTCATTAACAGTTGTAATTCCAACCTTGTTTTAAGAATATGGGCAAAAAATAGATTTCCCCCTTTGCTGAGAGATGATTCGCTTGTTTCAGGATCTGCTAAGTATATATAGCAGCTTTGTTCAGTAGTTATGCATTCAACTTTAAACTCCAAGAAGCCAGCCAGTTGTCCTTGTGATTTCCGAAAAGAGGTAAGCTCTTACCATTTCTAGAGAGTTTTAACTCATGTATATGTTAAACTCTCAAAAATAGAGGCTGCAAAAAGAACATTGAATATTGCAACAATGCTATCAAAGAATCATTTTGGGTTCTCCAAAAAAAAAAAAAAAAAAACGTTGAGAGAACAGTTATTAAAAGAAAAATTTTTTCTTAATGTAAAGAACATTTGAATATTCCAAAGAACCTTTTTCTACTATAAAGAACTTTTTTTGTGGAATGAAAAGGTTCCATTGACGTTAAAGGTTCTTCATGGAACCATCAATGCAAATAAAAAACCTTATTTTTAAGAATGTACTGACAGTATTTAATGTTTCTACAGTAACAAGTTTTGTTTGTTTTTCTTTTTGGATCATAAGAGCAAATATGAAAGCTGTGGCATTCTTGATGTGTTTGCTGGGCTCCTCACTAGCGGCCCCTGTAAGTCATTGTTTCTCAGTTCAAGACAACATAACAGTCTAAAGTTTCACACATTTTTGACATCTTCTTACTTTGCACATTTTAGGCCCCTGACAGTGGCAGCAATGAGGTAAGACCTCTGTGAGTCGATGGCAATGGATGTTAATGTATGCATGGCTTAATGTTTTGCATAATGCTTGTTGTGTTTTCTCTCTTGCAGCAGGCAATTATTAGTCATGCTAACACAGCACTGCAGTTGATGGAACTCTACAGAATGTTTGGACATCTGCGGCAACAGGTCAGTTCAATGGCGCTAAAGCTAAAAACATACAGTAGAAGCATTTAATAATAATAACATAATGTAATTGTCATGTTTTTGCAGGGGTTTGGTGCTGTTCCTACTGGTGTTCAACTGCCTGTACGTTAAAAATGTAACCACTTCAAGTAATTTGAAGACTTTACTGTGTGAACTTGTCTCAGTAACCTGTTTCATTTTGTGTTCCTCACAGGCAGCACCTGCAGCGCCCGCACCTGTTGATGTAAACCCCTCTCATTCAAAATCAAAATCATATATCATATAACATTTTTGTGTTTTTGAGGATAAACAATAGCCTTTTGAAAATATTTCTCTTATTACAGGCCCAGCCTCAGGTTTCACCTCAAGCACCACAGCAGGTTAGCAACATGCTTTTGCCATTCTGGGTCAATGTCAGTCATGGCATGTTATACCATGTTATACCAGGTTGTACCACAGCAGGTTAGCAACATGCTGTCAATATTTTGAGTAATGATTTCTCTTTAGCATCTGTTTATGATGTGAAGTAGCATTTAGGGTACAACATACATACATTATACATTATACATTGATGTTTAGTTTGGTTTATTGAGTAGTAGCCAATGGCACTGTAGCTTTTAGCGTGGCTTTTTGCAAAACACTACAGCGTGGCAATACACTCTTTAAAATAAAGGTTCTGTATTGGGGTCAATGATTCCATGAAGAAACTTTAACGTCCATGGAACCTTTCCATTCTACAAAAGGTTGTTTGTAGTGGAAAAAAAGTTCTTCAGACGTTTAAAATATTGAATGACACTAAGAAAAAGCAGTTCTTTTAAGATCCATTCACTGAAAGGTTCTTTGGAGAAGCCAAAATTGTTCTTACTTGCATCGCTTTTGGAAAAAAAACCCTTTTGGAATCCTTATTTTTAAGAGTGTATTTGAGATCGGTAATACTGTAAGTACAGTATGTTGCGTTGACACTGATCTTTGAACATTTCTTTCAGGGCATTTTTTTCAACCCCGCTCTTTTCGCACCCACAGGAGATGGGTCAGATGAGGAAGGAGCAGTAGGTTATTTCATCTTGTCAAAATTGTTTCTCACATTTCAAACATTATGTACTTTATGAGTTCCGTCCCACTTTTCTATCTACACTAGCCGCAGTTTCGTGGGTTTTATCCTCCTTACGGCTACCAGCCTGCCCAGCCGGCTGCTGCTTTGAACTCAGATGAGGCCGAAGGGGCAGAAGAAGCAGAGGGTGCAGAAGCAGCAGAAGGAGCTGAGGCTGGAGCCCAACCTGAACCTGCTGGAACTGCTGCAATTGCTACTGCCGCAAATGAGATCGCACCCGTTGATGTTGCCGTAGATGTTGCTGTTGAACCTGCTACCGAAGTATTTGCATCTGCTGTTCCATTCCTCATCCCTGAGGTACCGGCAGTTGCTGTGGAAATCGACACTACTTTGGTAGGGCCTGATGCCACTGCTGGTGCAGACCAGGTGTTGGTGGCTGATGCTCCTGATGCTGCTCTAACTGTGCAGTGAGAGAGATGATCACAAGCCCCTCCCCCTAGATCCTAACCAATCAGTCACATCGATGACATTAAGACCACACCTCAATGGTCTAAACATTATAGCACAGGGACTTGGCTAGACTGAGGGGTATCTAACTGGCTTGCTTCAACAAATTGTGGCACATTCTTGTTGTGTTGTGTGTGAAAATGTTTCCTGGTAGATGACAATTTTTTTATCAACCTCATTGTAAGAATTGAGCCTATACTGCTGCAGACAGCGTTACTTGTTATATGTCTTCTCTCTCAGCTTCTTAAAATAAAATGTCTTTTGTCTTACTGCAGTCAAAGGCCTCTTTAATCAACTGAAATGTAACTTTGTAACACTTTGGAAATAATAAAAATGGACAAAACATAGTTTTGTATGAGGAAACCAATTACTAAAGGCACATACTGTACACACAAACACACATATTGGGTTTTCATGTTTTATAGGGACATTCCAAAGACGTAATGGTTTTTATACTGCACAAACTGTATTTTCTATCCCCTTACCCTAACCTTACACCTAAACCTACCCCTCACACAAAACTGTTCATTTTTAGATTTTCAAAAAAGATAATTCTGTATGATTTCTAAACTTGATTTCTCATGGAGACCGAAAAAAAAAAGTCCCCACAAGGTCAAAATTTAGTGGTATTACTGTACTTGTGGGGACATGTGGCCCCCATAACGTAGAGAATACCAGGAC